AGGATCCTGGAGGCAGGAGCTGATGGAGGCAGGTCATGGAGGGGAGCTGCTTACTGGTTTGCTTCCCATGGCTTGTTCAACCTTCTTTCTTTCTTTTTTTTATTATTAATTTTTAAAATTTATTTTATATTCCAACCAGTTTCCCCTCCCCCTCTCCTCCTGTTCTCTCTCCCCCCACCTCCTTTCTAATCTCTGATCCACTCTTCAGAAAGGGTAAGGCCTCCCATGAGAGTCAACAACGCATGTAAGTTTGCTTTCTTTCTTTCTTTCTTTCTTTCTTTCTTTCTTTCTTTCTTTTTTCTTTCTTTCTTTCTTTCTTTCTTTCTTTATTTCTTCCTTTCTTTCTTTCTCTTTCCTTCCTTCCTTCCCTCCTTCCTTCCTTCCTTCCTTCCTTCCTTCTTCCTTCCTTCCTCTCTCTCTCTCTCTCTCTCTCTCTCTCTCTCTCTCTCTCTCTCTCTCTTTCTTGGTTTTTTGAGACAGAGTTTCTCTGTGTAATAGTCTTGGCTGTCCTGGAACTCACTCTGTAGACCAGGCTGGCCTCAAACTCACAGAGATCCGCCTGCCTCTGCCTCCCAAGTGCTGGGATCAAAGGCGTGTGCCACTACTGCCCGGCCAGCCTGCTTTCTTATAGAACCCAGGACCACTAACCCAGGGATGGCACCACCCACCGTGGGATGGACCCTCCCCTCATGGATCATTAATTGAGAAAATGCCTTACAGCTGCATCTCATTGAGGCATTTCCTCAACTGAGGTTCCTTCCTAGCTGACGACTCTAGCTTGTGTCAAGTTGACACACAAAATTAGCCAGTACAGGCACCTTTCACACTTCTTACATTGGGTTGCCTTTTTGTTACTGAATTGTAATAGTTCTTGATGTCTTTTTGCTTCAGATTCCGAATCTAATTTATATGCATTTTACACACACCATCTCTTTCTAAGGTGGCTTTGTTTTCTTGAAAATATCTTTTGAAGAATATTAGCTTTGAAATCTGATGAAATCCAATTTAAACTTTTTTCTTTTGTTTTTGTCTTCAGTGTGTGTCATGAAAGACTCCATTGGCTAATCCAAGGCTGGGAAAACTTAGACCTATGGGTTTCTTTGTCCTCAGAATCTTATAGTTTTAGCTTTTGCATGTAGGTCTTTGCCTCTTATGAGTTAATTTTTGTATTTGATGTGAGTTAAGGATCTAACATTGTTGATTGGTTGATTTTTTTTTGAATGTGGCTATCCAGTTATCCCAACATTAATGATTGAAAAAAAGGACTGTTTTTTTTTTTTTTTTTTTTTTTTTTTTTTTTTTTTTGAGACAGGGTTTCTCTGTGTAGCTTTGCGCCTTTCATGGAACTCACTTGGTAGTCCAGGCTGGCCTCGAACTCACAGAGATCCGCCTGGCTCTGCCTCCCGAGTGCTGGGATTAAAGGCGTGCGCCACCACCGCCCGGCCAAGGACTGTTTTTTTTTCACCTTGGAACTGTCTTGTTGAACAACTTTGTTGAACATGAATGCAAAAGACATCTATAAACTGAGCCTGAACATAGGGTTATTTCTAGACTCTACAGGATTCTCTTGGACTTCATCTATAATGTAAAACCTACATTGTCTTGATGCTGTTTTCTTTGTAGTAACTTTTGAAGTCAGGAAGAGTGAGCCTCCTTCAAGCTTTGGTCTACTGTTTCAAGATACTCAGGATGTCTCATATCCTTATGAATCTTAAGTCAGCGTGTCAATTTCTACAAAGAAGCAGGCTCTTTCTTTACATTAACTTGTGTTTCTAGTAGTTGGGTCTTCTTACATCTATGAGACAAGCTCAAGGTGACAACAGAAATTCAGAAATCCAGTTGCTGTGGAGGCAGGGGGATGGAGAACAGGAGCAAAATGGAGGGAGTGGCCCCAGGAGACAGACTCCAGGTGTGCCGTGGGGACAGGCTTGCTCTGGTTGGGTGTCTCCTTCTGGGATGTGGACAGATTAAAGGCACTTGTATCTCCCACAGTTTAACAGGACTGTTTAGTATCCTCTGAGAAACATTCTCACCAACCTGGGGACAGACCATTTTGGGGCTAGTGAGAGAAGACAAATTTGTTTTCAACCCTGAACTTATTCTGTCTTTAATTTTTGTGCATCCCATGGAGCTTGGGCTCCATGGTTGCTTATTGTTTTGGAGACTTCAGATTCCAAACAAATTCCTGAAAACTAAGGTTGTGATCTTGGGATGTGAGCTAAGGACTGGATATGGGTTGTGACCCAGAGTCACTTAGATGCTGAGGGTGACAAAAGGGACCAGCAGAGGTTGATTTGCTTCAAGAAAGAAAAGTCTCATTATTGTGTTCTTCTAACAAAGAGCTAAGTAGTAAAAGGTTGCCATACTTGGAGGCTGGAAAGAGGCAGAGCAGAGGAAAACTCAATGTTCTTTTCAGGAAGTTTATGTTTGTGCTAGTTAATTTTAAATGTTAGCTTGAAATAACCTATAACTTCCCAACAAGAAAACCTCAGTTGAGGGATTGGCTAGACCAGATTGGCCTATGGACATGTCTGTGAGGACTGTCTTTATTGCTAATTAAAATAAGAGGCCCCAACCCTCCATGGGTGGTACCATTCCCTAGGCAAGTGGTCCTGAACTGTATCAGAAAGTATAGGTCTCCCTGCCATCCAGTAAGTAGCACCTTCCATGGTTCCTATGTGTTTCTTAGCTGTGAAGTTGTTTCCTTGGTCAGAGGTAATGCTGTGTGGGATTGCAAGCAGGCCTGCTTTCAAGTTCCTGCCTTGATTTCCCTCAGTGATGGACTATAACCTGCAATTGTAAGCTAAATAAAACATCTCCTCCCCTAAGTTGCTTTGTGTCATGGGGTTTTATCACAGCAGCAGAGATGAAACTAAAAGAGTTAATGCTGAAACTTTGCTACCTCACAAGGAAAGCCACAGAAAAAGAGATTGGGAAGCCTTAGAATTTCCAGAGACTTCTACAATGGGTCCAGCCCTCATTGTTTTTCTTACATTTTCCTCATCTGTATCATGAAGGCTTTGTGCTTGATACTGTCTCAGGAGGCTTCAAGGATCATGTCCTCCAATTCTGTAACTGAACCCAGATTGGTGTGGCACAAGGCTGTGGCATTCATTAGACCAAATAGCAGGCTGAGAATCTGAAATGTCCTTTTTGCTACCTGATAATGTCCACTGTATTGACCATGCACATCTGTTAGGTTGACCACTACCATCTGCTTGGTTGACCATGTATAACCACAACCACTTGGTTGACTATGTACATCTACTTGGTTGACTATGTACATCTACTTGGTTGAGCATGTACATCTACTTGGTTGAGCATGTACATTTGCTTAGTTGAGAGCATGCACAACTGCTAGACCATGTACATTGGTTGGCCATGTACATCCACTTGTATGACAATGCACATCTGCTACATTGGCACATCTGCTAGGTTGACTATGCATACCTGCTAGGTAAATCATGCACACCTGCTGAGTTGACCATGTGTATTTGCTTAGTTGACTATGAAATCTGCTAGGTTGAGCATGCACACCTTCTAGGTTGACCATGCACATCTGCTTAGCTGACCATGCATATCCACTTCGTTGACCATGCACATCTGCTTAGTGACCATGCACATCTGCTTGATTGGTCACATATAGCTATTTGGTTGACCACACACATCTGCCTGTTTGACCATACTGCGGTGGTGGTTAGTGTCACTCGTTGGAGTAACAAGTTCACACAGAGTGCACAGAGCCAGTCAGCTTATCTTTCTGAGCACCTGCTGGAGCCCACAGCTTGCCACAGTGACCTGGAATCTGAGAATACAATGACGAGTCAAGAAGGCTCGTGGTGGCAGAAAGAGGAGCTCTATTACTGGGCACTGGATGACTCCAGAACCAAATTCTAAGTTAGGAGCAGCATGGAGTTCAGCAAACCTGAAGACCTGCCATTGATGAAGCAGCTGAGCACAACAGGATGGTGTACGGGACACTGCCTGCCTCACAGATACCTCAGGGATTGGGCTGGGCAGCACCTTGCAGGAAATGAGAGAGGATCATAGGTTAGATGGATGAACAAAACCACCCTGGCCTGGCTGGGGAGGGCCACTGTCCTGGTGAGTGGCAGACCCCTCAGTATCAGGAGAGTCCTCCAGAACAGCCAGTCTGACCATGGAGTTGGTGGAAGGCTGGTTGTTGCAGTCTCACCAGTACCTGGAAGCTCAGATGTGAGGACTGGAGTGCAAAGCTGAGCCATGAGTTGGTGCTGTTCACTTGCCAAGTCCTCATGGTCTTGAAGCTGCCATATTCCTGTCTGAGAAGAGATGGTTATAACAGAAAGATTCATAGACCTGTGACATTCAAGACTCCTAAGGTCATCTCAGATGTCCACTGCAAGGGAGTATAACCAGTGTGCTGTGACCTGGCCAGTGAAGGGGTTGTGGGAACACACACACACACACACACACACACACACACACACACACACACACACACACATGCACGCATGCACGCACGCATGCACGCAATATAGCACTAAGGATTGAACTCGGGAACTCACATCCACAGTAGAGAAATGTCCCACTACTGACCTATATACCCAGCCTACTCTACAAACTATTTTAAATTTGACCAATTAAATTTAAAAAGCTGTACTATGCTATGTAGACTTATTAGGAAATTATTACTTAGTAGAGGGCAGGGGTTGTTTTATTCAGTAAATAGGTGTTTTTGTTAAAAGTTTCAAAGGACCCAATTCAGACTCTGAGGTGAAAAGACAAGGGTAGGATTTGAACCCGAGGAGCACAAAGCTGGGTACGCTTTAGGACAAGACAGGGCACGGTCAGAGGAGAGCTCTGTGTTCTAGGGAACGATCCTCTACACTCCAGCAGTGCACAGGAGCTGACGTCACTCTTCGCATCCAACTTGCCCATCAGCTCCACTGTGCAAACAAGCCGTCCTGCGATGCCGCAGGCTTTCCACATCGAACATCGGCTTCTTCCTCATGCCACAGGAAAGCACTTGCGGGTTGCTCTCATCAGCATGGCTGAGCTGGAGAAGCAGGCCACCGTGTGCCACTTTTGTGCAGAAGAAGAGGGACTTGGAGAGCGGAGACATCTGCTGTGCAGTCTTAAAACCACACTGCATCACCTGCTACTGGCTGAGCTAGTCATGGGCTCCAGCACATCACGGGGCCACCAAGGTGAGTTTGGGCCATCAGTGATGACTAGGGGTATGTCTTCTCCTGGAAAGACAGGAAGGTGGGAGTAACAATGAACCCTCCTATGCTCAGGGCCTCCCCTCCCTTCCCCATGAGCTGGAGAGCAGGAACCATGGGGGAGTTTCAGATGGGCTTTGTGGTGGAGCTGTGTGCCTTTAGTGAGTCAGTGGTTATGTTCAATGCAGTTTGTGGAAAGGGCCAAGGATGAGAGAACACACATTACTGGTTCCACACATGCCATGCTCTTTTAGTCTATTGATGGCTGTCCTACCTTTTCAAACAAAACCCATGAATTTCAGTGATAGGACATGGCGCTTTTGGAGGAGTAGTTCTCAGAATTATCTTTTGGGTAATTGAGAGAGAAAACCTTATTTCGAACATAATGTGATGGTTCATTTAGTATTAACAAAGATTAAATGTCTATGGTAATGTGGACATTTGTGAGAACTTTTGTTTCTGGTGGTTTTGTTATTTCAGACTTGTGTTGTCTTGGAAATAGAGTTCAACAGCCTTTTTGGTCACAGGAACAGAAGATATGATAAAGTAAGTTCTCAGCCTAATAGTGTGTTTTGTTTTGGTTTTTTTTTGACACAAGGTCTCACTATTAAAAATCTTATTTATAATTATTTTTTGTGTAAGTATGAGTTCCTGCATGTATTTATGTGCACCACTTTGCATGCCTGGTGTCTATGGAGGCCAAAGAGGGTTTGGATCCCATGGAACAGGAGTTACAGTGGTTGTAAGCTGCCATGTGTGTGCTGGGAACCGAACCCTGGACCTCTGCAAGAGCAGCAAGTGCTCTCGACCACTGAGCAAACTCTCCAGCTCTCTGGTTTTGTTTGGGGTTTGTTGGTTTGCTTGTTTTTGTAGCATTGGGGTTGGAATCCAGGCTTCTGAGCATACCTCTAAGCTATATCTCAATCCTTGTATTCTTCTCTCTCTCTCTCTTAGACAGGGACTGGCCTGGAACTTGCTACACAGCCAATGGTGGCTTTGACCCTCCTGACTCGGCTCCCAAGTGTTGGGGTTACAGTGTGTGCCACCTGGTCTGACCTTGGAATGTTGCGGGAACCTTCCTTCAATAAGTTCTTGTCTCTGGAGGAGGGAAAACTCCTTTCAAGAGCTTGACACATGATGAACTTTTGTTTTTGTTTTTGTTTTTGTTTTTCGAGACAGGGTTTCTCTGTGTAGCTTTGCGCCTTTTCCTGGAACTCACTTGGTAGCCCAGGCTGGCCTCGAACTCACAGAGATCCACCTGGCTCTGCCTCCCGAGTGCTGGGATTAAAGGCGTGCGCCACCACCGCCCGGCTATGATGAACTTTTGACTAGCACAGCTGGCTAGCACAGCTGGCTAGCCAGCAGCACCGGCCTCCCTGGTTCATGACAGACACACACTCTGTGAAGCACCCCAAGCGACCTGCCGACATTCCCACAACTCACCAGGGTTGAGGTTAGCATATCATGGGGGCAGAGACTGGAGTAAGTTGTTTGAGAAAACAATCTGTCTTTTAATAACAGTAGATGCAGAATAAGAATTGATGAGGAATATAAGAAGGCCCTCATCACTTTGGCATGTGACAGGGTGACTTCCAGGAAACAAAAGGCCTACATCAACAACAAACCATACCATGACCATTGTCCACAGTCATGCTCTGAGGCTGCTCTGAAGGTAGCTGTGGGTTTTGAGAATGTGGCAGGCTCTCTCTCTTCCCTTCTCTTGCCTCTGTAAATGATAATGAAAAGGGAAAAGCCATTGTATACAAAATTACGCCTGAAATTTTTAAACTTTAAGCCAAAAGTCTGTTTCTTCAAATTGAAAAGTAGTACTTTGGGACCAACACACTCAATGCTGTTGCTAGGAAACCCATTCTCAATTTTCTACCCTTTAATCTTGGTGAACTTGAAAACAGTATCAAAGGCGAGCTAGGCTATTGGATTTTCATTCTGTCTTTGTTTTTTCTCCTTTTAAAAAGGACATGGCTTTCCCCCTCTTTTTAATAAACCCAAATCCACCAAGCCTCCATCCTATCCTTTTTCAAACCCTGCCATCTGTCTTGTTCCCCCAGACCTTCAGTCGTCCTTCTCTGGACACCAAATCATCTCTATCTCATGTCAGCCATGCCTCCCCGCCCCCCAAGGGTGTCATGAGTTTTGGTTAAGTAACTCCTCATTGCGTGTGCCTCTGAGAATTAACTTGACCCCATCATGGGTTTTAATGCCTATATATGAACCCATGTTGATTCCCCAAACCCTTTCTCTGGTTTCCCAGCTCCTGAGCCTCCTGTAGAACCCTGTCCTGGTTTCTGATCCGCGGGTGGTGACCTGGTCTTGTGCCTCTTACACAGGCTATCCTTGAGTCTGCCTGGAAGCTCTGTTTTCCTGCAGTTCACCCAAGTCCAGCTTCTTCCCTCTCCCCTGGTTTGCCTGTCTGTGCGCTGGAGCATATCCTTTTGTGAACTTCTGGCAAATGTAACGGACAATAATTTTTTGAGGACTTCTCTGAATGTGTCTTTCTTCTGATTTTACATTTGATTAATAGTTGCTTGAACACAGGATTCAAATACTTCCCAGGCCTTTGGAGGCACCGCTCCATTGTCTCCTTGTCTCTTGAGTTACTGGGGAGAGGGTCAGGCATAGATTCTGATCCACGGTCTGTTGTACAAACCCACAGAGTCATCTCTTGCCGCTGTGACAAGATCCTTGAGAAAATCGACTTTAAAATAGAAAGTCTCAGATGTGGGGCTCAAGGGACACTGAGCTGGATCATGGGGGGGGTAAGATGTTTATTAGAAGAGTTATTAATTCCATGGGTAGACAGACAGACAGAAAGACAGACAACAACGTGGCGGGGCTTCTGAGGAGAGTTTTCCAGGTCAGACAGCATGGGTGGGGTCCTATGAAGCATGGGTGGGGGTACTTTTTTTTTTTACTCTTGGGGGCCTGCCACCCAGCTCCCAAATAAATACATGGAGACTTATTCTTACTTATGAATACCCAGTCTTAGCTTGGCTTGTTCCTAGCCAGCCTTTCTAACTTAAATTATCCCGTTTCTCTTTTACTACATTTTGCCTCTGGGCTTTTTACCTTTCTTTAGTCTATATAATTTTCTTTCCTTCTTACTCTGTGACTGGCTGTGTGGCTGGGTGGCTAGTCCCTGGCTTCTTCCTCTCCTCCTCTTCTCGCTCCTCCCCTTCTCTTATTCTCTCTGCCTGCCAGCCCCGCCTATCCTTTCTCCTGCCTATTATTGGCCATTCAGCTCTTTATTAGACCAATTGGATGTTTTAGACAGGCACAGTAACACAGCTTTACAGGGTTAAACAAATGCAACCTAAAAGAATGCAACACATCTTTGCACCATTAAACAAATATTCCACAGCATAAATGAATGTAGCACATCTTGAACAAACATTCAACAACAAGTGGGAGCCTATGAAACAGATTCAGGCCCGTGTAGCTGAGTCAGGGTCCCGTCTCAGCTGGAGTTTGCAGCCAGGCTTCCTGATTCCCTGGCAGAAGGCAGGGAAAGGGATTTGGAGTAGGGTGTGTGGTCACTGGCATCCCTTTGATGTGAACCCAATTCCTAGCCCAGAAGTCTGACTACCCAGAAGCTTGCTAACTAGTGTTCTTAGTAGGGTGCCCATCAGCACCTGTAGGAGGGCTGTAGGTATTACAGCCTCAGCAGAAGTCTGATCTGGATCCTAACCCTGAGAAAGGTTTATTTTTGTTCATGCTTCCAGAGGTTTCAGCCCACGGGCTCGTGGCTCCATTATTTTGGGGGCAGCAGTGCACAAAATCCTGTGGCATGGAGCAAATCTTACCTTATGGCAACAACTGGGGGGGGTGTGATGGTGTATGGGTATGTGCAAATGCCTTTGGAGGCTTGAAGTATTGACTCCCCAGGAGCATGAGTTATAGGCAGTTGTGAGATGCCTGACATGGATGCTAGGAACTGAACTCATGTCCTCTGAGAGAGCAATCCATTCTCTTTACTGCTGAGATGCTAGGAACTGAACTCAGGTCCTCTGAGGGAGCAGTCCATTCTCTTTACTGCTGAGCCATCTCTTCAGACCAATCAATATCTTTTCTTTGATCCTTGTGAATATTTACTATTACTCAATAGAAAAGCTTTCCTTTCTATATTAGCTCCCCCCATGTTCATTTACTTATTTTTGAGATAGGGTATCACTATGTAGCACTGACTGGCTTTATTATGTAGATCAGGTTGGCCTTGAACCTACACAGAAATCCTCCTGCTGCTAGAGTGCTGGGATCCGAGGTGTATGCTGTCAGACCTGCTCCATTAATCTCCTTCCTTTCCCTTTCTCTCTCCCCTCCCTCATTTTCCTCCCTCTTTCTGTTCTTCCTCCTTTCTTCCTCTCTGTCTTTTTCTTCTTTCTCATTGTCTTAGTTAGGGTTTTATTGCTGTGAAGAGACACCATGACCACGGCAACTCTTATAAAGGAAAATGTTTAACTGGGGCTGGCTTACAGGTTCAGAGGTTCAGTCCATTATCATCATGGCGGGGAGCATGGTGGCATGCAGGCAGACATGGTACTGGAGAGGAGCTGAGAGTTCTACATCCAGATCAGTAGGCAGCAGGAAGAGAGAGCGACACTGGGCCTCCCTTGAGCATCTGAGACCTCAAAGCCCGCCCCCTAGTGACACACTTCCTCCAACAAGGCCACACCTCCTAATAGTGTTACTCCCTATGAGCCAGCCTATGGGGGCCATTTTTATTCAAACCGCCACATTCATGCTTCCCTTTTCTCTTCCTGCTTTTTTTCTCCTTTTACTTTCTCTTTTTTCATTCTTGCCGTTTTCTTTCTTTCCTTCTTCTTTTCTTTTCTTTTCTCTATTTTTCTTCTTTGTGTCTGCTATTTACATTTCTGTTACTTTCTTAGGGGTTTTTCTTAGAGGGTATGGCTGGTTGATCCTATTAGGGAGGAGGCACTGGAGAGCTTAGTTGGAATCTATGCATTTATAGAATAATTTGTTGAACAATGAGGTTCCCAGGGAATGGGGCTTACCTATTTTTCCAACTTATATACCAGCACAGTGTGTCTTTCTTTAGGTCCAGTCCTCTACAGGGGAGCCTGTCTTTAGGTCACCAGGACGTTATAGACTGAATTGTGTTCTTCTTAACAGATGTGTGAAAGGCTAACTGCCAAGACTCACAGTGTGTCTGTCCTTGCTTGGAGTCATGACATGGCCACTGTGGAGAGGGCTGGATCTAACCAAGAATGGCCGCCATGAGAATGGGACGAGAGAGACAGACACATGAGGACCTCACAGGAGGCAGACTATGGTGATATTTTATTTGTGCTGAAATGTGATTTTATTTGTATGTTAATAAATAAACTTTGCCTGGAGATCAGAGGTCATAGCGAACCATTAAGCAGAAGTCAGGTGGTGGTAGCCCATGCCCTTAATCCGATCACATGGCAGGCAGAGTCCCTGTGTGGTCAAGGACACAGCCAAGTGTGGTGACACAAACCTTTAATTGCAGTACCAACCATAGAGACCTGGAGGTCTGTATAGACAGGCAGTGATGAGGAAGTCATGTGGCTGGGCTTAGAGCCAATGAGAAGGCAGAAGAGAAAGGCAATAAAAAGACAGGTCAGACATTAGAGGCTCTCTCTGGGGAAGCTACTGCTGGTGGTAAGCTAAAGGTAGTCGTGGCTATTGCTCTGATCTCCTTGGCTATTTCCTCTGTATTTGGCTCTGTGTTTCTTATTTACTAAGACTGTTTAGAATTTCATCTACAGCAGACACACAGAGAAGCTTCACCATGAGAGGCTGCCATGGGTTGAGAAGAACCTGGAGCCACCAGCAGCTGGAGGCAGTGGGCAGAGTGCTCCCTGGAAGCTCTGGAGACCAAGAGGCTCGGCCACACCCTGACTTTCAGCCTCTAGAACAGTGAGAAGACAAGTTTCTGTTGCTTTAGGCATTTTGTTCTGGCGCCCTGGCGAATGAGCGCAGAAGGTGTACGTGTCTATTGATCTTGAGTGATTTCCACTGGAGGAGGTCTGAGCGGGGAGCCCTGCTCCTACAACAATTTGACTTCACTCCTCCATCTACTTCCCCGTTCATGTAGGATCTGCCCTTGTGTGTCTGGACATGCTGTTCCTAAGTCTGGCTCCTTGGCACAACTCTGACTTAACTGCTCTTGACCTTATTGGTTTGCAGACCCAGGGTCTTGCATCCTTCCTGCACAGACCTCCAACAAATTCTTGTCTGTTCAGCCACAGCTCAGTTTTGAACAAAATAGCCCAAACTTTTTATTCCTGAGAAATCTGCCCTTTGTCTCCACAAATGCAATTTCTAGTTCTCAAGTCTCTCAAAGGTCACAGCTTCCACAGCCCTTGTCTCTCCAAGATGTAAAGGCAGATGCTCACTTCTGGCATTTCCAAGCAGGGGTGCTGGCCGTTCTGGGGTGTAATTCAAGTAACATCAAGGTAGGTTCTGCAGGGAAATCTCCATGGAGATTTGTCTAGGCACCACCTCCTGGTCCTCAGTCTCCACACAGAGCCCCTCAGGGCACATTTGTTGACTAAAAGCAGGAGCTGAGATGGCAGTGAAACTGGCCAGGAAATATCTGACTCTGCACACAAAGAAAAAAACTACATCCCGAGATTATGGACTGGCTGGATTTGTGTGTCAACTTGACACAAGCTAGTCATCAGTTAGGAAGGAGCCTCAGTTGAGGAAATGCCGCCATGAGATCCAGCTGTAAGGCATTTTCTCAATTAGTGATCGATGAGGGAGGACCCAGCCCATTGTGGGTGGTGCCATCCCTGGGCTGGTAGTCCTGGGTTCTATAAGAAAGAAGGCTGAGCAAGCCAGTAAGCAGCACTCCTCCATGGCCTCTGCATCAGCTCCTGCCTCCAGGTTCCAGCCCTGCTTGAATTCCTGTCCTGACTTCCTCCAACGATGGACTATGATCTGGAAGTGTAACCCAACTTGCTTCTTGATCATGGTGTTTTGTTGCAGCAATAGAAAACCCAATTAAGATAGATTGCTAAAGAGAGACTGGATCCACCCGCCTTTTACAAATGGAAATTTACATTTCAAACTGCAAAAAGCAAAGGGTCCAACTGGAATTTTCATGTAGTCCTACAATTATAAAACCAAAGACACCTTTGCTAAAATCATTAAATTGCAATCTACTATGGGAAGGTTTCTTGGCTCCTCTCACATTCAGGCTTGTGACAGCCTTAAAATTAATCAGCTGAACCTGTTTAACGGCTCACAGACTTCTAGGAAGACGGTTGTATTTTTAACTGGGTGAGCTTGCAAGATTTTCCTAGAGCCGGCTCAGGGATGATGTGGCGTTTCTGGTTCACACAGTCTCCCCAGAGGAGTTAAAGTGCCCCCCCCGCCCCCGCAAAGTTATTCGAGATAAATGTAGAAGCCCCCAGGAATTTCTTTCTTTGAAAAATATATTTCTTTGTTAGAAAGGTTTTTGATTGATTGTATCTCCATGTTATGATTGGGATATGCCATGTTCTTCCCATGGGCTTGTATATTGAAGGCTTTGTCCCCAGTGAGGGAGGTATGGGGGGAGGGGGCTTCGGAAGTGAGTAGGATCATGAGGGCACTCTTACCTTCATCCATGGATTAACCCACTGATGGGTTTATAATTTATTAGACTATTGGAGATGACAGGACTCTGGAAGCAGAGACATAGTTGGAAGAAGTGAGTCCCTGGGGCATGTCATACAAGCATATGGCCCCTCCATGCTCTTTCCCATTGCTTGTACTCTGCTTTCTGGCCGTCATGAGGTTATCGAGGTGAGCAGCTCCTTAGTATAGCAGCCATGTAGTCAGCTGACCATAGGCTGTCCCTTGTGGAACTGACTCCAAGCACTTCCTCCTTGAAGTTGCTTTTCTGAGGCATTTTGTCACAGAAACAAAAGTCTGACGAACATAACAACACAGTCTCCAGGTCCTTATGTGTCTCGGTTGATGTGGTAGGGGGACATCTGGCATTCAGTTCACCTTTTGGACCTTCACGTCAGTGACAAAAACTCCTCTCCTGTCTATTTATAGGAGTTATAGAATTATAGAGGGGATTATTGTACTGGCCTCACTGACCTGCTGGCCCAGGACACATTTTGTAATTGTCCTCTTTGAAGCAGGTTTTTTTTTTCATTTTTCTTTATTAAGAAATTTTCTATTCCACATACCACCCCAGATCCCTCCTCCTCCCTCCTCCCACCCCCCAGCACTCTTTCCTAAGCCACCCCACATCCCCACATCCCCCAAATCAAGGTCTCCCATGGGGAGTCAGCAGAGCCCAGCACACTGAGCCTAGGCAGGTCCAAGCCCCCTCCCACTGCACCAAGGCTGTGCAAGGTGTCACACCACAGGCACCAGATTTTTAGAAGCCTGCCCATGCACCAGGGACAGATCCTGATCCCCCTGCCTGGGGCCCCCCGAAACAGTTCGAGCCAAACAACCATCTTCCATATCCAGAGGGCCTAGTTCAGTCCCATGGGGGCTCCACAGCCACCAGTCCACAGTTCATGGGCTTCCACTAGTGTGACCAGTCATCTCTGCACATCCTCCCATCATGATCTCGATGTCCCCTGCCTGCAGAAATCAGTATGGCGGTTTCTCAGAAGATTGGGAATAAGTCTTCCTCAAGACCAGCTATACCACTCTTGGGCATATACCCAAGGAATGCTCAATCTTACCACAAGGACACATGCTCAACTATGTTCATATCAGCATTATTTGTGATAGCAAGAACCTGGGAACAACCTAGATGCCCCTCAACTGAAGAATGGATAAAGAAAAAGTGGCACATATACACAATGGAGTACTACTCAGCAGTAAAAAACAATGATATCAGGAAATTTGCAGGCAAATAGATGGAACTAGAAAATATCATCTTGAGTGAGGTAACCCAGACTCAGAAGGACAAACATAGTATGTACTCACTCATAAGTGGATACTAGATGTGAGGGAAGGGATGGCCAGACTGCAACCCACAGCTCCAGAGAGGCTAGCTAACAGGGAAAGACCCTAGGAGGGACACATGGATGACCCTGCGAAGGAGAAGTGGATGAGATCTACATGAGTGGACTGGGTTTGGGGGGAGGGTGGCAGAGGGTGAGGAGTGGGGGATGAGAACATAGGGAAATGGGAGGGTCAAGCTGGAACAGGGACAGAGTGGGAGGGCAGGGAGGAAGATACCATGATAGATGATGACATCATGGGAATAGGAAGAGGCAGGGTGCTGGGGAGGCTCTCAGGAATCCACAAGGATGACCCCACCTTGGTCTGCTGGTAGTGGTCCAGAGGGTGCCTGGACTGGTCTACTCTGGTGACCGGCCTAGCAAATAACCTAGCTGTCATCATAGACCCTTTGTCCAGTGACTGATGGAGGCAGATGCAGAGATCCACGGCCAGGCACCAGGCTGAGCTCCGAGAATCCAACTGAAGCAGTTATATGAGTGCATCGTGCAGGATATATTTGGCTGTGTCAGGAACTGAACTTGAATTGTTGTAGAAAATGAATACTTTTTTTTTTGGCTGCTATAACTAAAGGCAGACTTGGCATGAAAGGGGGTAAGCCCAAAGTCTGGGACAGGCCTGTCGCTGAGGTCTGGACTCAGGAAGGCTGTTCATCCTGTCCACTACCTGCTCTTTTCTCTCTGCTTGGCTTCCTCCAGAGGGCAGCAGAGAGGCAGCTCTGTGAATCATGTCACTGAGGGCTGGAGACCAGCTGTGTGCCAGGTGGAGGTTCTGATGAGATGTGTCCATCCTGAACCTGCTGGTGGAGGTAACTCTGGGAGAGTCTGCAGGAGGAGGACCGCATTCTTCTGAACTTCCGATTAAAGGAGATTTGTGGGAAAGAGCTGGTTGAGGAACAGAGCCAGCAGACTTGACTGCTGCCAGCACGGCTTCCTTCACATGCGTGTTTCAGCGGGTTAAAGGGAGAGACCATTTGATTGCTCTAGTCAACATTGCTAGAACAGTATTGCATGTGCAGCAGAAGACAGCCCTGGATGATCTATAATTCTGTAACTCCTCCTACAAGTATGCCTTAAAACAGGAGTGTACAAAGTGCCTGGGGAGTAGGGGAGGGGCGGTAGAGACTGGAAGGGCCATAGGAGCCTTGGGGTTGGATGTCACTCACCTGCCTCTGTCAGGTTTCTGACAGGAAGGAGACAGATCTAGACACTGTGAACATCACTTGGTTCATGGAGGTGGTCGGGAGCTCAGAGGAGCTCAAGGAGAGGCCTTGAGCCAGCCCCCCAGCGGTACTTCCCAGGAACCCCAGCACCAGCCTCTGCTCCACTTCAGAAAATTGGAAACAAGATTGAGGTTTAGTAACACACCACACAGTTGCAAGCCAGGTCTGAGGGGGTGATGAGCAGTACCCTCCGTTGGCTGCTGGGGCTGGAATATGGATTTTGGATGTTCACTCAGTCATTACAGCTTCTGCCATCTCCCAGAAGCCATGGGAGCTGAGATGCTGGGCCCGACTCCCATAGCCTGAGACTGTCTCTTAACACCCAGAGGGTAGTTTTTGCTTCTCCAAGATAGTATATCTATGTTCAAATACTCCTGAAGCAGGATGCCCTGTGCAAGTGATTGCTGAGGGAGAGTGCCCACCTCATGAGGGTGGGTGAAGGAGACCAAGGGTCGGACAAGAAGTCAGAGTGTGGCTGAGGAGATCCCAGAGAGGTCAGTGTATTCTTGAGGGAATTTTGTGAGGGGCCAGCGGGGGGTGGTGGTGGCAGTGTGTAGGCTGAGGAAGGATCATAACAGGCCTGAGGAGATCCCAAGGGAGTTCAGAGTGTGAACTGAGGCAATCCTAGGGAGTCAGGGTGTTCTTGAGGGTAACCCATGGGAGTCTAATATGTGGGCTGGATGGGTCCCATGGCGGTCCAGGCTGTGGTGTATGGGGTGTGAGATCCTATGGAAGTCTGGAGTGTGAGTCATGATTAGAGATTGTCTGGTCCAAGGCAATGGCCTTGAGTGTTGTGCCCACATAAGCTGGTCCTGGATGTGGGCCATCCCAAGAGAGCCAAGCTCAGTCCTGAATGAGTCATCCATGGCTGTGTAACAAGTTGTCACACAGTACATGCATTGGTATCCTGGTTAGGAGTTTGGGTGTGGCATGGCTGGGTCCCCTACTTGGATTCAGTAGGTTGGATCTAGACGCTGGCTGAGGTTCACATCTTTCTGAGCTTACGGTCTTTCCATGACTCCTGTGGTGGGTTTCAGGGGCCTGTCATGGTGGCTGTAGGCTTCATGTCCTGCTCCCAGACTGCTGGTCTGGGCCGTTGGGAGCTCCTGGAGACTCCTAAGCTAGCTTGCTGTGTGACCCTGTCATGGGGCAGCAGCTGACTTTGTCAAGGTCCGTCATTGTCATTGTCACTGGGGATGGACTCAGCTCACAGCAGCAGAAGTCTCTGTCTCCATAGTTCTGGAGACAGGAGCTTGAGAGCAAGGCACCAGCAGCCTTCATGTTTGGCAAGGTCGGCTTCCTGGCCCATGGACGGTGTTTTAAATGAGGGCTCCACTCTCACGGTCTAAACCTCCCCAAAGCCTTTACTATGGATGGTTATAATGTCACTTTGCCTCAAACAAGAGTCCCTTGACTAGGGAACCCCACATTAAGGAGTGTTTTGATTTTGTTATTAATGTGGGGAGGCCCACCCTGATTGCTAGGAGCACCTTCTAGAATCAGTTCAGATAATGGGGACAGTGGAGGGAAGACTATCTTGCCTTGTCCTTGCTTCCCCCCGCCCCCCGACCACTTCAGAGTTAATTCACCCTGTTGTTGCCGACACCGCCAAGTCCTTCGCTGATAGCAGAACCACTCACCAAGGTTTCCTTGAGAACTAGAGACCACAACTCTCTGGGAAACTTCCTGGCTTCTGACACCAGATTGGGACTGCGGAGGTACCCAGCTGCATGGACTGAGTAAAAACTAGTTGCCAGGCAACCAGTGAGAGACAGGCATTGAGGGACTGCTCTGACTGAGGAGGCACCCAAACTCAAGCACCGTGAAATTACCAAGTTCTCAGCCTCTCAGGTGCAACTCTGCCATTGTTACTATTTTAAAGCTGACTTAATAAGCTCGTGGTGTACATAAAATAGTTCTGGGAGTGGTAAGTTCACCACACGCAGTTTGAAAGGACGCAGACAGACATTTAGACCAGAGAAGCCCAGGAGAGGCAGAGCCCTGTGAAACAGGAAGTGATGGCAGAAAAGACTCTCCCAGCACCACTGCTGCATATGGTCCTTCAGTGAGGGAGCCATGTCCCCTGTCAAGGGCAGGTGTCACTGAGCAAGACTCAGGTTCCACCTGCACTCAGGAGGAGAGATTAGACAAGGGCTCCGGTCACTGGAGGGCTTCCTAGCACCCTGACGACCACAACCACTGTAACTCCAGAGTGTACAGCTCCCAGAATCCACAGGCACTGGCCCCCCAAAGAGTGTGGGAGTGAACCAGTAGCCACTGCCTTTTCTATGGAGGACTCCGGGAGGGGCACCCACAGCATCTTCTGAATGATGCTGGTCTGTGGAAACAAGGCCAGCCAGGGTGAAGTCACGGGGGTCTTGGTCAAACTTCTACACAGCACAGCAATCATCAGTACGTTGGGAGTGGACCTAACCCCCATCTAGCTTCAGAGTGCAAAGGATCCTGGCAGATGGACATAACTGTCTTACCTTGCTCAGGAAAAGCAACAGGGGTCTCCTCCTGGGACCAAGTGGCAAAGTAGAATCCCCAACACTGATGCTTGGGTGAGAAAGACATAGGACTGGGATCTATTAGTTGGGACAAGGGAGGCTTGCCATGGGCTGCCACCAGGTTCCAGAAGCTTCTGTAGTCACATGTGGGATGGGAGAGGATCTAGACCATGGTAACCATTACATGATAAAGACTTTAGTTCTTTGCTGAGCAGAGAGGCACTTACTTCTGTAACCCTGGTTATCCTGGCTCACCACCCTTGCCCTTTGAATGAGACTAATTTCTAATAATGAGTAAGGAGCTGTTTTGAAAGAGCACAGTTGCATTTGCACTTGACAGAGGGGGCCACACATGTGATCCTGTGCAGTGCCGGTTCAGTTAACCTCAGTGGAATGAGCCGCTTGGGACGTTCGTTGTTAAAAGTTGTCTATTTGAATCAGGAACGAGCCATGGACATAGGGCTCCCCAGTGCGGTCCTGGCGCTCTGTCTAAGAGAAAGGCAGCAAGCACCTTGGTGTTTGGTGGGGCCAGGATACATGTCTGCAGGGTGGAGAGAGGACTGGGGTCTGAGTGGGAAATGCTGTCCCGCCCCATGTCATATGGGCAGTGTGGTTCCACACCTAGACCCTCTGCTCCTGTTTTCACTTAAAGGAGGTGGGTGAGGAAACCCCCAGTTCAGGTCTCCATCCCCGTTACCCACCCACCCTACACCCAGCGAGTGAGTCCTCAGCAGCGGAACAGCCCCCCTTTTAGAGCATCAGGAATCCATGGAGCTGCAGGTTGAGCATTCTTTCTGGGGTACTGCTTCCCCTTCTCCCCTCTACTGGAAGGAGGTGACACGTGGAAGGAGTTCATGATTTCATTTTCCTGCACATGGCTTTGATGAGATCGCCTGGTAAAATACACTCTTTAGATCTCTCCTGATGTCTTGGGATTTCTAACTCTTCACATGGAATCATCTGATAGCCCAGTGGTGAGAAGCGTAGATCTACCCGAAGCTGGGCCTCTGACCTGGGCTCTGCTACTAACTCAGTGGGGGTTCTAACAATGTCGCTTGTCCTCTTGGAGTACGGCTTTACTCACCTGTTTACACAGGAGCATAATTTCACCTAACCCAAACTGTCTTGGGGTCTGGAGAGGTGGCAGAGTGGGTGAGAGCACTTGCTCCTCAAACACACACGAGGACCTGGGTTCGAATACCCGGGACCCACTTGAGAAGATAGATGTGGCCAAGTGTGCCACCATAGCCTCAACTCAGTACAAGGGGTAGAGATAGGATTGCTGGGGCTTGGTGGATGACAGCTGAGCTCCAGGTTCAGTGAGAGACCTTTCTCAAGGGAACAAGATGGAGAGCGACACAGCAGGAACCATGTTCTTCCCTTCACCTTAAGTGCACACACGGGCACCCTCCTCCTGCATATTGTTTGAAAGGGCTCCAGGTGGGGGAAGTCCTTGAGATCTGGAAGAGAGAGACAGTGGAGATGTACTTTAACGTGCTTTGAAGGGCACAAAGCTCTGTAGAAACTCATGTTCTGACTAAACTGGAGAGCTTTCTTAAGAGTCTGGGCCGGAGAACCAGCCCCATGCCACCACCCCCATCCCAGTGTGAGTCCGAGATGGAGGCCAAGCCTCACAATCAGAATCATTATGTATAGAGCTCTCCCTCTCTTGCCCTCTGCGCTGGCATTGGAGCTCTGGTTAGCGGCAAGCCAAGGAGACGACGCTAATTGCTGGGTTTGATATTTGAAAGGAGAGATTATTAACAGAGCTCTCAGTTCAGAAACTTCAAGAAGAAATGGGAGGGTGTGGTGAGGGTGGAGGGGGGGGAGGTGCATTTCCTGTTTTCCTTTCAGATGGTGATGGGAAACCATGGATACCCACGGAGAAATTCCAAAACTCATTCTTTCTCCTGCCAGAGGCCAGTCCCAGAAGGTGATGGCTAGAAGTGGTCAATTTATTATTATTATTATTATTTTAAAGCTATTGAAGTGGGTTTAAATTAAATTTAATGTATCTTTATATTATATGTATGAGTGTTTTGCCTGCATTTGTGTCTGTGTATCACATGTATGTGTGGTGCCCATAGAGTCAAAAGTGGGGTGTCAGATCCCCCGGAACTGGATGATTGTGAGCTGCCATGTGGGTGCTGGGAATTGAACCTGGGTCCTCTGCAAGAGCAGCCAGTGCTCTTAGCCACTGACCCATCTCTCCATCCCCTCCATGTTGTTTTTCTTTCATTATTGTTATTATTATGACTTGAGACCGGGTCTTTCTGACTTGGAGCTTGCTGATTTTGGCTAGATTTGCTGGTCCCTGAGCCCCAGGGATCGGCCTATCTCTGCCTCCCCAGTGATGGGATGACAAGCAAGGGCCACTACACTGCCCCCACTTTTTTTCTTAATATGTGTTTTGGGGCCAGAACCCAGGTCCTTATACACAGGCATCACACAGTTTACTGGCTCCAGTGGTTCTTAATCTGCGGTTCATGACCCCTTTGGGGGTCGCATATCAGATACCCTGCATATCAGATATATACATATATATTCCTGACAGTAGCAAAATTACACTTATGAAGTAGTAATGAAAACAACTTTATGGTTGGGGTCACCACAACATGAGGAGCTGTATTAAAGGGTCGCAGCATGAGGAAGGTTGAAAACCACCGGACTAAGCGGTGTCCCCAGCCCTTTAGGTTCCCATCCTTACCACACTTCATTTTTACTTCAGCAACCAATAATTGAAAATTATAATTCCTTCTAGCTCATGGCCCATTTTTGAGTTAGAGTTTGCAGGAGTCCAGCTAAACGCTTGTAGGGCAAAGACGGCCCTCAGAGGTGACATCAGCTTACAGAGCAGGCCAGAAGCAACAGAGCCCAGGGTCTGGTTTTCATTTACAGTTTGGGTCTGTCCTACAGCGGGGAGGGGAGAAGAGGGGTCTGGAGGAAGGAAGGAGAAGGAGGAGGAGGAGAAGGCAGGGGAGGAGGGAGAGGGAGGTGGGAGGGAGAGGAGGAGCAGGAGGAAGCCCTGACTGTACCCCTGGACCCTGTCCAGTTTAGAGTTTAGTCTTTCAGCAAAGGCTGCTCAGTTCTCCAGGCTCCAGCCTCCAGCAAGGATTGCAGGAGGAGACTGCGTCCTCTGGTCCTGGAGCCCCGTTTCCTCGGTGGGGAAGGGTTGCAGGAAGAGAAGGAGATTTAGTGAGAGAGAAAACTATGCATCCTGGTGAAGCGTGATTGAGTGTAGAAGTCCAGGGACACGCGTCTTCAGGTTTGCTCAGGGTAAGTGCGATTTTTTGCTTTTTGCTTTTTTTCTTTTTTAAACCGTGGCATGAAGGAAATATTTCAACCAGACGCAAAAGTTAGCGGCTCTTACGGTCACCCTGTCAGTCGGTTTTCTGTACAAATTTTAGGTTTCTGGAAGAGTCCGCCTCTGTTTCTGTCCTTTGTGGTCACTGGGCTTCTTTAACCTGCTGAAGGTCACGAGTTGCCCAGTGGTGTCTAGGTTTGCAGCTGCTGGGAGCATCCTGAGTGTTCCTGCTTGCGCCCCATGCACCCCCAGCTGGGCTGCTCTCTGCCTGCTGGTTTGTGGAGAGTGACCCCTTCTTCCCCAGGCCAGCTGGAATGTGCTTTGTTTGCAGAGGCATCCAATAGGAGTGGAGGGCAACCTGCGGAGTGGAGTCCTGGGATCTCTCTGGGATCCCTCTGGGTTCTCCAGGGCTCCTGGGTTAGAGAAGACTCCTAAGTGGTTCTGCCGTGGGGAGGTGGTTGGGCAAAGTACTCTCTTCTGAGTTTGGAGAGACACTGGTACTCAGACTCAGGGCTGGGCCGAGCTTCTGGGCCATGGCCATGGGGGCTCCATCTTTTTAGGAATCTGAAGCCAGGGTTGCAGGAGCTGTCCTTTGGGGGTGCTTAAGGGAACTTCAGGCTAACGGAGGAGGAACGTGGTGCCAGTGCAGCTCTCCCAGTGGATAAGGCAAGACTCAGGGCTGGGCTGGCCTAGGTTGTCCAGATGGGAGGCCTGTGCCAAGTTGGGAGGCCCAAGGGCTATTCCCTGGCCATGAGGATGCTGGGTGGGGTTCTGGTCCTCTCTCACTGAGGATAGAAAGTGTTCGTGGATAGTTGCCAGCCTGTTTGGGGACCTATTTCAAGCTGCTACAGGATCAATGCCAGGGTGGGGTCATCGGGGAAGGGTTTGTTGGAATACTGGACAGTGGCTGAAGGAAATGAATTTTATAAAAGGTGAAATTAGTGGCTGATCTGGACCTCCAGAAAAAGCTGTTCTGAGCTTGAGAGGGTACCCTATACCCCAGAGGAGGCCATTTCTCTCCCTCCCCATAGCTGATCTCAGATGAAAGCCCCAGGGGCTGAGAACTTCAAGGGTGTGCATGGCATCTGAAGACAGTTCCCAACTTCTCAGGGGGACACAATTCTGAATACTGCAAGAAGCTGAAATTTGGAAAAGCCTTTAAAATAAAAATTATATTGCTCTTAACAAAACAATGTAGAACCAGCTGGTTGCCGTAGCTGCCATTACTGAGGCATTTGACTTCTTTCCTGGGTGATTTTGGGCTGGAAGCTTTCAGTGTGGCCATTCCCCCGCTTCATAGGTGAGGAGGGAGGGCCTCTTAGATGCCGAACTGCTTGCTAGGGCCCACCTGAGAGGCTGGGCTTCCAACATCATCCTTTCCCATTGCTGGAACCATGAGACTGAAGGGGTCCCCAGCAGTAGGGGACCCTTGATGAATTTATACCTCCATGTGGGATAGGCTGATAGATTTATCCCCTCAGAGGAGACAGTCCCCTGTTACATTCTATTCAAAGCAGTGGGACAGTTGGCTTTGTCTTCATAAGGACACACAACTCCTGGAGAAAGAAACGAGGCCCACCTCGGGGAGGAGGGCGTGGTGCTGTGACTGGGATTCCAGTGTGGGACTGTCTTCCATCCAGGCCACCTCGAGGGCATGGAGGACTTGCAGTGATAGCCTGGATTTTGCTCCATTCTGGTGTGGACTTCTGGTGAGGGGGAGGGAATGGGGCTGTAGAATTTCTTTTGGAGAAATTTAAGAATGAGAATAGTGGTCCCACGTCTGGGTGTCTTTGATCAGGCGAAAGCTTCACATTACTACAAGGGGAATTCTCTTTTCTTCACTCACAGCAGTGAAAAGCCATTCAGCAGACACTGGGTGGGGAAGATGGACAGGATGGGTGGCACAGAGTGCCTCTCCTGGATTTTTCCAGTCTGGGGAGTTAGAGGGTGTGGCCACAGGACCTTCCTAGGGGGTGACTGAGGTATCCTTGGCCTAAGAGTGTATCTTACATTGGAGGTGTGTACCACACCCCATTCTGCTGGAGACCCTCAAGCCCGGGACCTTAATGATGTATCTGAGACAAGATAATCATGGTTCTGAGCAAGGATTGCCTGTGTCTTCTGCACTTGGAATTATCCTGCAGTGACACTGTAAGTGTGTTTTGTGAGTTCACACAGTACAATATAATCTATCACTGACCATCAAGTGGGAGAAATTCCTCTATTCAACCAGTTCCTGGGGCTGTGAACTCTGACCTTAGTTTTGGAGTGGAACCTACAGACCCCAATGCTTAAGGACTCAGCCTCTTCCTGAGACCACCTCCCTCCTTGGGGATGGGTAGAGGTGTTTACCACCCTGAGCTCACTTGCTTCCTTGCCCTTTCCAGACATCTGGTGACTTGTAGAAAGCATGGCTCCAATACAGCAGCTGTCTGTGTCCCCGTCTGCTTTTTATGTGAAATTCCACATTCAGGACTTAAAATTCATTAGCGAGTGGCCAGTTCTGCTGTATGGGAGAAGTTCTTGAAAGCACGCTAACTATGTTAGGAAAAAAAAAAAGCAAAATTACTGTCCCTTCTTTGTGGAAGAAGCTGTAAATTGGGTGTCTTTGGGAGGAGGATGACAGGTGATGTCCAGAGCTAAATGAGACACTGCATACCAAGGAGGCTTTTCTACGCTGACCTACAGGTAGGAACTGCACACGGTGTCCTGGCTGCGGCAGGCAGGCAGTAAAAACACACAACTGCTATATAAATAGTTGATGACTTGAGGTGTGACCTGACATTTAAAAATCCTGTTAGTGGCTTAGCTTAGAAAACCAAAGACACAAAACACTTCATATTTTAAGATTCATTTTTAGTATTTCTAATTATGTGTATTGTGTGCCAGTGTGTGGGTATGGACTTGAGGGCAGGTGCCTACGGTGGCAAGAGGTGTTGGAGCCCTCTGGAGCTGGGTTGCTGGCAGTTGTGAATAACCTAACATGGATTCTGGGAACTGATCTCAGGTCCTCTGCAGGAGCAGTGAGTGCTCTTAACTGCTGAGCCATCTCTCCAGGCCTGCTTTAGGTTCTAAAACATGTTGTTAAAGTAGATGAGGATGTTTCTCTCTGTTCTCCCACTTCTAGATAAAGCTCCTGGGGTTTTAAAACCCCAAGAGATAACGCTCAATAAAAATCCATTGCCATGTAAATCACAGCAATGAGTGTCTTATTCTCAGGGAGTACCTGCCAGGTTCTGATTTTTAAAGAGACGCTCTTTAGGAATTAATTATGTTAGCTTTCAAAATTGTAATTTTTAATGCATCCCAGTCTCACAGGTCTGTTTGGGGAAGGAAAGTCTGAATAAGCCCATGGGGCTTCTGGGGGTGCGTTCTTGTTTCTTTTCACTAGAGGGCAGTGTATCCCTGAGTGTCAGGAAAATGGAAGTTCCCAGCACTTCCAGGGTGGGGTTTCAGGGCCCGTGGGGAGCCAGCCAATTCACACCCCAGCTGTGGGTGGCAGTTAGGATTGGCCTACAGCTGCTCCAGTACACTCTCTGTGATGGGCATACACTTAAAATTCCATTTTTCTTCCCCGCTTGTGTCTGAGCATACTGGAATGAAATTTATGCTTCCAAACAACACATTCTCTGCTCTTAAGTGATTCCATTTCAAGAGCGTCGAACAATTGGTAAACTTTAAAGGAAACACATTTCCTGAACCTAAATTACAAAAGCTTCCATGGAGAGCATGGAGACTGAAGCATGCTTGCACATATGTTGTGTAATCTCTTATTTGAACACTCTTATTAAAATTCGCTGAGCCGGTAGCTCTTACAGTGTGCATAGCCTGCCCTTTGTTGTCCTCCCCAAACATATTTGAAAGAAATTCACACAAACATCTCATTCTAAATACTTTTTGACTAAAATACAGTGGTGGCTTTCTGACTTATTATTCATCCAGGGCGACCCTAGACACTAAATTCTGTCTCAGAGCACCTCGACCTTCTGTTAGTTGACCGCAGCATGTTCTCAGACTTGCCAATCAGGTTCGCTGTACTTTAGGTTGCTAAGCTTCAAGATCGGGGAGGGGACAAGCAAGAAGACCTAGACTCTGCTCTTCTGGTTGGCAAACTCATGACTTGAGGTTGGCTCTTGAGATCCTAGAAAGAACATTGTCTTAGTGAATGCTTTCTTCACATCCTTTGGGGACATGGGACATGTTACTCAGAGAGGCCAATGGCTGGTGTGTGGCCACAGTGTTTGGAGCAGTAATAATGCCAGCCCCGTCCAATGCTCTGTACCTGCCTGATGGATTCCACCAAGCATGCACCCAGGACCCAGGCATGGGTGGGGTGGATAAGCCTTAAGAAGTACCATGGGAAGAAAGGCATTTTTGTATTTGATGATGTGGCAGCTTAAAAAAAGTCACCATTGCTTAAAAAAAAAAATCCCGGAGGGTCTGGCGTGTGGCTCAGTGGGGAGAGTGTTTGGTTCCCAGCACCACATAATCTAGAAATGGTGATGCATGTCTGTAGTACCAGCTTTTGGAAGATAGAGGAAGGAGCATCAGAAATTTAAGGCTAGCCAGGGTAGACTGTATATGTGAAATTTTCTAAAAAAAATCTGGACATTTGAAACAGGAGAGAAATGAGACAATACAAGCTGGCTTGCCAAGCCGCCGTCCAGAGGCACGGTGCTCACCCTGCACACGGTGCTCACCCTGCACACGGTGCTCACCCTGCAGGGTCTGGCTATGCACAGTCCTGCACTGTCCTCTATCCTCAGCTTTAACCATCATGAAATATGGAGAAGTGTTTGTGAGGTGGGAGTGGCCAGGGAAAACCTCACTGGGGGCCATCTCTGTAGAACCCCCCAGTGTGCACTGTTCTCTCCATTTCCAGAGCCCCAGCACTTTGGGAATTGGCCGCTGGAAGGAAGAACTCACGGGTCTGTTTCATTTCAGAACGGACCAGCAGCTGGCCATGACTAAG